ACGCACACACACAGCAGATTAAGGGTTTCTGGGTGTCATTTCTTTTTTCAACGCTTCATGCTTGACAAATTTCAAGCACTCACTTTCTGAACTCACAGATCCTCCTCCTCTGCATTCAAGAACAAAAAGTACCACGGTATTACTTTGTTTCTTTGAAGCCCAAGAGAAAAGCATGTAAATGTCTGGAAGTGGAGTAACGAGCCGTCAGCTGCTCATTCTCACACAATCCCTCTGAAACGGCTTTATTTTGTGAGAATGATCAGCTGATTCAACATCATCCCACTGACAACACGACTACATATCACATCAACAAACAAATAAATACATGACATTTACATTCACACATAGAGCAGATGCTTTCATCCAAAGCTGCTTACAAATGAGTAACATCACATGTAATTCATCAAAGTCAACAATATTCATAGTACACAACGGCAGATTTATTAGAAAGTAAAATAAATGAATATTTATTTACTCATTTATATATTTATTTATTATTTTTATTAAGTAAACATTAAATAAGTACATAATGAATCCGTTAACTAAGTAAATAAATAAGTAAAAAAGTGAAGTAAATAAATGAAATTCATAAGTACATAAAATTTGACCTTGGAGCACAAAAATACATTGTATGGGTCAAAATTATAGATTTTTCTTTTATGCCAAAAATCATTAGGATATTAAGTAAAGATCATGTTCCATGAAGATATTTTGCAAATCTCCTACCGTAAATATATCAAAACTTAATGTTTGATTAGTAATATGCATTGCTAAGAACTTAATTTGGACAACTTTAAAGATGATTTTCTCAATATTTAGATTTTTTTGCACCCTCAGATTCCAGATTTTCAAATAGTTGTATCTCAGCCAAATATTGTCCTATCCTAACAAACCATACATCAATGGAAAGCTTATTTATTCCGCTTTCAGATGATGTATAAAACTCAATTTCGAAAAATTGACCCTTATGACTGGTTTTGTGCTCCACGGTCACAAATATAAATACATAAATATGAGCTACTGTGAAAACTGCTCAAATGCAGCTAGTTTACCTCATTCCCGAAACTTTGCAGCGTGTATGTGGCCAAAAAATTAAAGTTCTATACAAATTCTGCATGGATTATATATAGCACTGCCTTTATAATCACTAAAAAGCTGTCCCTCGTCAAATAACCAAAATAATTATGATAAATATATGATTTTTATTACACTATTCTTCAGAAGAAGCTGGAGCGGCACTGAACTCTAATGGAGGCCCTCACGGGGCCCTGACGAATTACTCACTTAAAATCTGTTATTAAAAAACAATTAGTTCAGCGATGCCGGCGCATTCGTCTAGAAAGAGTTTGAGTGTTAAAACGTGAGCCGACTCTGAGACGTTTGCATGTTCCCATCAGCCCCTCCGACTGAACACACAGATTTTAATTGCATTATGTAGTGAATGCCTTGTTACTGCAAACATGTAGAACGACGTCCTGTTGTATTTCAAACTCAATTTCCTCTAAACACAAACACACGGAGTGAAAGCATGAACTGATCACATGCACGCCTTCAGTGCAATGCAAGCTGCTTTGTATAAGCGTCTGCAAAATGCATTCATGCAAACAGTTAAATAAGTAAAAAATAAAGTAAATAAAAAATGTAATTAATAATTAAATAAGTAAATGATTCAACAAATAAATAAATACATAAAATAATGAAATAAGTAAATAAAGTAAATATAAGTAAATAAATAATAATCAAATAAATAAGTATATATATATATATATATATATATATA